CCGAAAATTTGACAACCTAAACTTGTCCACACTGTTGGAAGTACTTCTTGGCCCCGTACAATATATATATATGTATAGACACAGAGGTTCAAAAAGATTGATGGATGGTTATCATGACCATCTAACTCAAGTTGGTTGATCTGAAAATTAACTAACGAGAGTTAGATAAACGTGATAACTAATCATTACGAGTTTGGGGACCTGTTACTCCTATAACGTTCGTGTTTTATCCGAAAACACATTTTCTTCTTTTAAAATACCCCATGTGTGTTTCCATTGGAAGAGCAAATTGTCATGGAGCATGTATGACGTCACAATCGAAAATGACGTCGAAAAACATTGTTACATGACGTAATAAATCACAGATTGACCAATAAAATAACGCCCGAGGTGTTACCTACTCGATTTATCAAACGAGGAATTAAACAACATGTCGACGTATTGACATAAACTGATCGCTACCATATCAACTGACATGAATGTAATGAAAATAAAGAAAATTCATTTTTGTGTCTGACCCATGAGATGAGGTTATCTTCTATTATTAACGCAATATACATGAGTTTTAGGAAGGAGATGAACATATATATCGAGAAGCTAGGATGATGTTAGATAACAGGGTACGATTACGTCAGGATATATCAATGTATAGATATATATATATGTGTGCATTACGAAATCGGTTAAAGTTCAGTTTGATATGATTGTTTGTTTTAACTGAGATACTCTGATGTTTAGTTCCCTATCCAACAGCAAAACATTAAATAATTCGACAGTATATGCTAGATTTTTTTTTTGATTTTGTTTAACGTTGAATAAGGAATGCAAGATATCATTAATGTTTCCTTCGGTCGCGCTCTGCATCGAGTTCGTTTGATAAGTGAATACAAAAAACTGACCTTATCTGGTTTGGGTTTATCTTGTCTGGCATTGGTCTGGTATAAATCTTTTGTCTAGGCTAGTCTAAAATGTTGGTCTGGCTCATGGATCAAAAACCATTATGTGTCATTTCAAAGAGCTTTCTTAAATCATTATCGACCAGCAAATAATATACATCAATATCTTGTTCAATTAGTTAATTGATTAATCGATTCCTTATTAATCTAGATATGAATCTATGGAGCCGTTGTGTAAATCCTTTATATGGAAGAATTTTAATACCTCGGGGATTGGGTAAGAGCACCAGGCAACAATTATTTTTAAAGCACACCAACACTAATCACTCCTGGTGCTGATCCCCCGCCCCACCACTGATTATTGTAGATCTCAGACCCGCCTACATCAGTGATTTCAAAAATATAAACTTTATTTATTTTACATCAATTATGAAACAAGTTATTTCAGTATATATTAATCACTCTTGTTGGCCCGAATGTAAGCGTGCGGGGGTCTTAGTGTGGGTGGAAACCGGAGTACCCGGAGAAAACCCAAGTGATCGGGCAGGTGACCCCATACTTTTTCACGTCCGATCGGGGAATCGAACCCCGGCCGCCTTGGTAAAGGTAAGTGCGCTATTCACTGCCCCTCCTCCCTCCCC